CCGGTCTTGGATGGGCCTGGCCGTCGTACTAGATGTCTGGTCTTGGATGGGCCTGGCCGTCGTACTGGATGTCCAGTCTTGGATGGCCCTGGCCGTTGTACTGGATGTCTGGTCTTGGATGGGCCTGCTGTTGTAATAGATGTCCAGTCTTGGATGGGCCTGGCCGTCGTACTACATGTCCGGTCTTGGATGGGCCTGGCCGTCGGCCTGGCCATTGTACTAGATGTCTGGTCTTGGATGGGCCTGGCCGTCGTACTAGATGTCTGGTCTTGGATGGGCCTGGCCGTCGTACTGGATGTCTGGTGTTGGATGGGCCTGGCCATCGTACTGGATGTCTGGTCTTGGATGGGCCTGGCAATCGTACTGGATGTCTGGTCTTGGATGGGCCTGGCCGTCGTACTGGATGTCCGGTCTTGGATGGGCCTGGCTGTCGGCCTGGCCATCGTACTGGATGTCCAGTCTTGGATAGGCCTGGCCGTTGTACTGGATGTCTGGTCTTGGATGGGCCTGGCCGTCGTACTGGATGTCCGGTCTTGGATGGGTCTGGCCGTCGGCCTGGCCGTCGTACTGGATGTCTGGTCTTGGATGGGCCTGGCCATCGTACTGGATGTCTGGTCTTGGATAGGCCTGGCTGTTGTACTGGATGTCCGGTCTTGGATGGGCCTGGCCGTCGTACTGGATGTCCGGTCTTGGATGGGCCTGGCCGTCGTACTGGATGTCTGGTCTTGGATGGGCCTGGCTGTTGTAATGGATGTCCAGCCAGAAAGGCTTGAAAACACCTGCTGTCTAATGCAGAGTTAGGGAAGCCGTAGGGCTGTTCTTCGGGCAGGCATTGGGTCACCTCTGTGCTACAGGAGGTCCTCCCCTGCAGAGTTAGCAGATCTAGTTCTTAGAGGTTCAGTGTGCCCTGGGCCACCTTCTTGCTGACATGGCCGCTGGGCTTTTGCGGTGGAGGATGCATGGCCCACCTTGTCAGGACAGAAGGTGTGGTCCGTTGCTAGGCCCATTCTTTTCCTTAGCATTCCCGGAAGCAGGGCTGGCACAAGGCTCGTTGAAAGTCCTCAGATGACATTTTTCTTCTCTCTTCTTTATTTTTGATGGTGGTTTTGTTTGATTTTTGTGTCTTGATAATGGTTTTGCTGTGTAGACCAGGCTGGCCTTGAATTCAGTCCTCATTCCTCAGCTTCCCAAGCCTGGAGTGTAGGCATGTGCCACCACACCTGGCCTCAGGTCACATTTTAAACTCAAAGCAAAGCTTCTTTTGAGATGTAAGTTTTCCTGGGAAAGCGGTTGGCACTTTCAGGCCCACTCTTGTCTTTTTTATAGAAACTTATTTCTGTGGTGGCATATGTAACAACTGATTACTGAGCCTTCCTTAGGATGACATACATGCCAAGCATTTCGTATCCCAGAAATAAGTGGCTTCTGGTTCCAGAGGCAGTGAGTGGACCTAGGGTTGCTGGGAGTTCCTGGGAAGGAGAGGGGGTTGGAGGGGGAGTATTCAATGACACTTGTTGAAGATCAGAAAGACCAGATTTTGTGTGATGGTATTCACCTATAAGCCAGCACTTGGTGTGCTTAGGCAGAAGGGTCAAGCACTCAGAGTGTGGCCTGTGTAGTGAGACCCTGTGTCAAACAAAAGCAAGAAGAAGGGCTATTCAAGACCACTGGGGTGTGTACAGAGACCACTGCGGTGATACATTGCAGTGTGGAGGAGAGATTGGGTTCAATTCCCAATACACAGGGGGTATTGGGCACACAAGATGGGGACCCGTGGGTGGGAAACTACTGTGCAGAAATATGATGGGTCAGAGATTCTAGTGGGAAAAAAAATAGACCTCAGACTTACCAGAGGTGATGACCAGACATCCTGTGAAGAGGGTAGAGGGAAGGGGCCTGCTGGGTACTGAGGAGACAAGACATGGGGGTGGCAGTGTTGCTCTTTGTTAGCATTGGCAAGTGTACACCTGCTCTGCAACGAGAGGCCCAGGAGCTGGCACCAGCTTGTCAAACAGTCTTCGTTAGTATCTACTGTGTTTCTAGAGACTTCCTGTAATGGGTTTAAATGTAAAAGATTGAAATCTTACTATTTTTTATTCTTAGCTGAACTTCAGTCATTATCTATTCCTGGAACATACCAAGAGAAGATAACTCACTTAGGAAATTCTCTGATGCATTTGACAGGTCTAAAATCCTTAGATCTCTCAAGAAACTCATTGGTTAGCCTCGAGGTGAGTTTATCAGTGTGAGTGGAAAATATAGATGTAACACTAATAAACGGTGCACTTACAGTGATTCTAAGTGTTGTTGCCATGTTTACTGTCAACTAGATTGTAGTCAAAGCCATAGCTTTCTGAAGAAGATGAAATACCTTTAAAGGAATTAAACAAGATCCCAAATCCTGACATGCACATGCCACCCTACCCACTCCCTATCTCTGCATTTTTTCTTTTCTTTTTTTTTTTTGGGGGGGGGGTCCGGTCGTGGGGCCTGAACTCTGGGCTTGGGCGCTGTCCCTCAGCTCTTCAGCTCAAGGCTAGCGCTCTACCACTTGAGCCACAGTGCCACTTCCGGCTTTTTTCTTTTTGCTTATGTGGTGCTGAGGAATCGAACCCAGGGCCTTATGCATGCAAAGCAAGTGCTCTACCACTGAGCCACCTTCCCAGCCCCATTTTTCTTTTTCCTTATGATCACTTAGGACCTGACTTTGGCCTCCTGCCCTAAATAGCAAGGAGTGAGCTCGGGGCTTGTTGCAGCCTGGGCAGTGAGCAGGTGCCTAGTCGTGGGTTAGGGCAGAGCACTTGCCTGGCAGCCGCAAGGCCCTGAGTTCAAATTCAAAAGAAAAGTCACCAATAACCATACACAGTGAAGGTTTCATGAGTAAGCCCTGCTGTGGGAGAATGTCACAGAGGTTTGAGTGAGAGTTTCTAGCCTGGACAGAAATGCAAGATCCTACTGCCTCACAGCTTCAGAACCTAGCTCAGCAGACGCAGCTCTTCAGCTCCCAGCATCTCCCAAGCAACAATAAAAATGGAGCAGTATTTTGACCCTGACAGATTGTGTGCAGTGAAATTGTTTAAAACATGTTCCTTGGTGCATACTGGGCACTTAGGAGAAAGTAGTCATATTTAAAGTACCATTAGGACTGACACTCCTATATTCAGAATAACCACATCGTTGCTTTTTAGTGAAAAACAGAACTTCATAGATGAGAATATGCTCCATTTTTATGTTTCTGATGCCAGCATGTATTTGTTACAAGTGTGTTTAGGTTGGTGGGTCCACCCCTACTAATGGTTTACTTTGCAGTGTGAACTGATTTGTATGTTTTCTGATTAACAGGGCATTCAGTACCTGATCTCCCTAGAGAGCCTCAATCTCTATTACAACTGTATTTCCTCGCTAGCAGAGGTATTCCGGCTCCACTCCTTAGCTGAACTCCAGGATGTGGACTTCCGGCTGAACCCTGTCGTGAAAAACGAGTCTGACTACCGCCTGTTTGTTGTCCATATGCTCCCCAAGCTCCAACAGCTGGGTAGGCTGTGCTGTAGGGTGTGGGTCATGCTGTTGTCTTTGTAGAGGGACTTGATTCTTTCATGTTGATGGCCCATGTCCTTGCGGAGACGCAGCCGAGGGTCTCGTGGAAGAGCCGCCTGAAGGGCTCTGGGGCCTGCCAGACAGTGATGGGGTAATGCCTGCACACTTCCACGGCAGTGCCTGTCAGGGTCAGAGACTCATAAATACTTCCTGACATTTTTGTTTTAATTGAAACCAGACTTCCTCCTCATATTGTTTATTCTTCTGAACCCAGAACATCATCAAAAGTAAAAGAAGCTGGGTGCTGGTGGCTCCTGCCTGTAATCCTAGCTCCTCAGGAAGCTGAGCTCAGAGAATCAAAATTAGAAGCCAGCCTATGCAGAAAGTCCATGAGATTCTTAACTCCAGTTAGCTACCAGAAAAGCCAGAAGTGGAGCTGTGGCTCAAGGGGAAGAGTGCTAGCCTTGAGCACAAAAAAGCTCAGAGACAGCACCTAGGCCCTGAGTCCAGGTCCCAGATCCTACACAGAAAAAAATGAAAAAGAATCAGAAGGAGGAGGAGTATTTTTCACTCACAGCAAAGGTCCTGACTAAGTGTGATGTCTACAGACGTGGGTGCCATCCCTGTTCCTTTGGAGATTAGCAGCAAGAAGAGGCTGTGCGGCTGAGTGTATGAAAGTTTGTGGGCGCCTGTCAGTATACAGACAGTCGTAATCCTAGTTTACCCCTTGGCTTCATCTCTGATGTCCACACAGCAGGCTGCACACTGGCCCAGGAGGCAGGCCCTGTCAGCCTGCTGCCCAGGGTCTTTGTCTCAGTGAGAGACAGTGCTGGTACTGGTCTAGATGGCCAGGCCATCAGGTCATCATCACAGTGTAGATCCAAAGCTGGCCAGGGTCTCTAGACTCCATATCCTGAGTCCGTTGTGATGAAAGTCTCAGCAGCAGTTAGGTGACGGGTTTCTGGGGGCAAGGCTGCGTTGTGTGAGGAGCAAGTAGGCTGGGTTCAGAGAGTACTGTTTACTTCAAACTCTGCTTGGAATCTCCATGTTTAATTTGATACTTAGGACATGTGCTTGCATTCTCATTTCTACTTGACTGTTAAATCAGGTAACTTATAAACAGATGAGTTTGAATCTTTCTAAAAGCACTATACTCAAGGGCATTTTAAAGCATCTTTCCCATTGCCATAAAAATTTTAGATTCAGAATCTTAAGATGTTTATATAGGGAAGAAATTGGACTTAGCACATGTCCAGGGTATTTCCAGACACAATAAAGGAACAACATGGCAATCAAAGTCATTGGAAGAATCTTGCCCAAAGCCTCCTAGGTCTCCGTCCATCCTGTGCGGGCCTGAGGCATATTGGTTCTGGTTGTGGGTGGGTAGTTGTGGGGTGCACGGGGGATGGGATGGTCATGGGGTCTGTGGAAGGAAGCAGTGCGGCCATCAGGAGTAGAGGTGGAGTAAGGCACCAGAGTCAGCCCCAGTTCTGCCCAGGCCCTACCCCAAGGGGGTATGTCAGCTGGTAGGGTGTGCCTCTAGTGCAGAGAAGGTCCTGCCACTCAGTGAGAGGGCAGAGGTGGAGATGGAGATCTGAGAATGGAGAGGGCGGGATTAGGAAAACAGGAGCCATGAGTGCTGGTTCCCTGGACATCAGTGCAGAAGGAAGAGAACTCTGGCTTGGCATTCACCTGAGTCAAAATGCTTGGTTTCTGCTTTGACAATTATTGCAGTATTACTGTTGCTATGATTTTTCAGTGAGTGTCATAGAGGAGTGATCTTTGGATGTAGTAGAGGACCTTAAGGACAACTATAACTCTGTAGGAAATCATGTGACGTTTCAAGGTCATGACCTCATCCTCTGTATGTGTGTCAGGAGATCCTGAGAGCTCTTGGTAGAGTCTTTTCTGAGGGCCATGGGACTTGTCTGTCTAGTGATCCAGACTTTTCTAAGGGCACACTCAAAAGCCAGTTCATCCTGTTCTCCACACAGTTTTTTTTGCCAGTCCTGGGTCTTGAGCCCTGGGCCTGGGCTCTGTCCCTGTGCCTTTGTGCTCAAGGCAAGTGCTCTACCACTTGAGCCACAGCTCTACTCCCAGCTTTTTGAGGTTAATTGGAGAGAAGAGTCTCAAACTTCCCTGCCTTGGCTGGCTTCAAACCACAGTCCTTGGGCCTGAGCCTCCTGAGTAAGTGGGATTACAGGTGGGAGCCACTGTCATCCAGGCATACAAACTTCCTAGAGTGCATGTGGTAGGTCTGCCCCAGCATCTGGTGTGCACGTTGGAGAAGGACATGTGTATGCACGCACCTCACGAGGGCACTGCTTTTCCCACAGTCAGGAGCCTTTGCCCACAGCACCTTCTGAGCCGTGAGTTGTATCGGAGTAGGCTTGACCTCCTACGGTGCACTTGGCGGTGCCCCTAATGCTGGCAGCTCTGGAATAGATTTGCAGGGCGTGATAGGGCGCCCTTGGGGCTGAGCCTTTCTGCCCTGAGCTTCAGGGTGAAGGCCTTTCACCCACCTCTGCTGTTCTCCCTAGATGACCGTCCCGTGAGAGAGAGTGAACGGAAAGCTTCACGACTGCATTTTGCGCCAGAGGACTTGCCCCATTCAAAGGAAAGCTTTGCGGCCACAGTGGGAAGGTACGAAGTGTCGCTGTGCCCAGGTGGTTTTCAGACTTAACCTTTTGACCGCTTTGTTTGCTCCTCTGTAAGAAGCAGTTTTACCATGAGACTTCAGCCGTTCAGTCATACCTGCAGATTCCACTCTGATTCTGGATCTACCACCTCTGCAGTGACACCTGACTGGAGTTCTAAACTCCTCATAGTTCTCCAGGAGGGTTGGGACCAACATCTTCCATACTTCTTTTAGCATTGATATGTTTACTGACTTCATGACTGGCGTGTTTTCCTGTGTGCGTATGTCCATGTGTCTTTGTATGTGCGTTTTGTACAAGGGCATGAACTCATGAACTCAGGACCTCATACTCTCATTTGACTTTTTGAGTCAAGGCTGGTGCTCTACTACTTGAACCGCATCTCCACTTCTGGGTTTTTGCTGGTCGATTGGAGATAAGAAAGTCATAGACTTTTCTGCCTAGGCTGGGTTTGAACTGCAATCCTCAGATCTTAGACTCCTAAGTAGCTAGGATTATAGGCATGAGACACACCAGCTTCTGGCTCACATGTAGTCTTAATGGGGATTTCTTTCCAGAAGGCTTTCAATTTTTTTCCCCCAAGATCCATCCAAGAAATCACTATTTGTGGCAGCTTTATCCTTATAAAATGTATTTTGTACTCCTTGATGTAGGGCTTCAGAATGGATATCTCATGGTATCTTACCAGCGTTTGTGGGTGGCTGTATGCACTGTCGATGAGTGTATTTTGAAAGGAGTCTTTTTTCTGAGCAACAGTGGTTCTCGACAATGGACTTAAAATATTGAGTAAACCCTATTGTGAACGGGAGTGGTCACCTAGGGTGTGTTGTCACATTATGGAGCACAGGCAGAGACTAACTACACTCCTTAATGATAAATGAGCATTTATTCCATCCTCAGTCACCAACTGCAGGGCCTCTGATGAGAGGCTCCGATGGTCCTTTGAAGCTTTGAAGCCAGATGCTGTGGTTTGCTTCTGGAAGCGTGTGTGTTGAAATGACACTGCTGGGACATGGTAGGGCTTTGTTGGAAAGGGTTAGGGCACTGGAGTCTGCACTTAGGGGAACGGTCCTTTCTTTCTGGCCACCGTGAGGGGAGTAGTTTCCTCTGCTGTGTGCGCTCACAACAGGCTCAATGCAGCAGTGGCAAGTGACCATGAACTGAAACCCTGAGCCAATAAAAACCTTTCCTTCTCTTAGGCTGATTGTTCTCAGGCTTTCTTTATAGTAATGGAAAGTCCTAGCGCACTCCTTCCAGTAAAAGACTGTCTGGTCTGCATTGAAAGTCTGAGGGTAATGAAGGCACCTTCCTTCCTACCTTAGCTGCGTCTCTTGGGTGGCTGACTGCAGCCCGGGTCAGGACCCGTTGCTTCATCTCTACTCTTATGTTTCTGAACTGTAAGAAAACCTCTCCCAGATCCAACCTTGTCTTCTGTAGCTTCTTTCCTTGCCTTTTCCAGTTTTCTTAGAATTGTAGGGAGTCAGGGTATTTCATTGAATAACCTTGGCTTAAGAGAAGGTAGTAGGCTGGGTGCCAGTGGCTCATGCCTATAATAATAATGCCTACTCAAGAGGCTAAGATCTAAGGATTGTATTCAAAGCCAGCCCAGGCAGGAAAGTCCATGAGATTCATTTCCAGTTAACCACCAGAAAGCCTGAAGTGGTGCTGTGATTCAAGTGGTAGCTTTGGGCTGAAGAGCTCAGGGACAGCACCCAGGCCCAGAGTCCAAGCCCCATGACGGGGAATGAGAGAGAGAGAGAGAGAGAGAGAGAGAGAGAGAGAGAGAGAGAGAGAGAGGAGAGAGAGGAGAGAGAAAAAATCTGGTTTTATCTTCTGTCTAAACTATTAAAATTTCTCCACTTCTACATTGAGTCTTTCTTGCTAGGAATCATTTATGTGTTCACTGGAGTAGTATTGTGTGTTCACTTTTTCAGTAACTTTTTCTTTGGTTTCACATGTTGGCTATCCCATAAAAGAGGCTTAATTTTCACCCTGTCTTGGCTTTCAACATACCTTTCTTCTAAACTTAGCCATCCAGCTCTTGACTTAGAGATATGTTAGTCTTCTGTTCACTTGGATACTTTGGGGACAGCACAGGATATTAGCTGGTCAAATCGCCTCAAAGAGAAGAGAGATGGGAGAGAGAGAGTGCAACAGCTGATGGATGGATTTCGTGTGCCAGCTTGGTTTTTATGCTCAAAATATTACAACAGTAACATCGAAGGTCATTGACATCACCGTAACATGCATAAGAATAATGGAAGGGCTTGAAACTGTGTGAAAAGTACCAAAATTTGGACCAGACACACAAAGGGAACCCAGTGAATTTGCTCAGGTTTGCTCATCTGTTTATCTCAGCCATGGCTTCTACTGCCTCCCTGTGCCCCCACCCTTCCTTCTGGGGCTCTGTGCAGGGTACCCAAGTTTGAGTCTACCCAGTGGCCTCCTGAGCTGTGGAAATGGATCACCTCCCTCTGTTCTGTTTTCTTTCTGCCACTTAGAGAGTGGCAGCCCACCAGGCCTGCCATGCACTGGGTGTCAGCACTTCTAGAAATTTCACTTGAGTTGAACTTTAATTCCAAAAACGAGCTTGGTTATCTCATAGGTTTTACTCATTGTTGACTCTCTATTTCATGAGCCACTGGTTCTTCTATTTTCTTTTGGTGCTTTGTCATGGCTTCCTGTACCTTGCTGAGGATATTTAAAGTTGCTGTTGAAATTTTCTCTTTCTAGAAAGTCCCTAACATCTGTACTTCCTAGTCATGATCTCTTTGGTTTGTTTGTATACAGTCTGTACTTGTTTTTTTTGTACCCCTCCCACTTTTTATATAACTAGGCATTTTTTTAAACGTATTTTTTTATTGTGAAAATACTGTACAGAGGGGTTACAATTACATGGGCAAGATAATGAGTACATTTCTTATCAAGCATTGTAGCCTCCTCCTTTGTTTCCCCTTCCCATCCCTTCCCATCCTCCCCCTGCCCCCCCACCCAATCCTCCCCGCTCCCCTTCCTCCCCCCCCAGCACCAAAGTTGTAAAGTTCGTTTTTCGACATAACGACTTGTACATCTCATTGTTGCAATGGGTCCTCCTGTATCCCTGTTTTAACGATTTGTTTTTTCCCTTCCCCTCCACATACCAACATCAAATACAGTGAAAGCAGGGGTTATACCATGGGGGAGGGACATACAAAGCAACAAAGACATAATCTTATAAATATGTTAGAAACAATCGCATGAAAGATCTCTCTCTCTTTTTTTTTTTTTTTGTCAGTCGTGGGGCTTGAGCTCTAGGCCTGGGAGCTGTCCCTGAGCAATTCAGCTCAAGGCTCATGCTCTACCACTTGAGCCATAGTGCCACTTCTATATAATTGCATTTTGAGTAGTAAAATGTAGCAACTCTGGAAATCAGATCTCTTGGTTAGCTGAGTTTACTGTTATTTTCTCTCATGGTAGTTGTCAGTTTTGGGTGAGTTTTCTGAATCAGTTCTGTGAAATTTATGCCTTGCTTGATCTGGCCTTTGAAGCTTCTATTCACTTAGCTTTGCTGCTCTGCTGATCAGCGGGCAGGGGTTTCTGTACATATACAAGCAGGTTGTGTGGCAGAGGTTGACATGTGCTGCCCTCAGTCTGTACCTGTGTTTGAGCCTCACACCACTTCTACAGACTCTTAAAGGGCAGATGTAGGGTCTTCTGACCACACCGCTCTGCTCTCTGGGTTCCCAGAAGTGCAGATATGCCACACAGAATGACTCCGTCTTTCCATAAAGATTCTGATGAGGCTGAAAGGTTCCTGCCACCAACTGACATTCTTAGTTGGTGTGAGAGCTCTCACAGTGTTCACACAGGGGGTTCGCATTTCTGAGAGCCCTCCTCCTGTGTGTGAGGGCGCTCAGCCTTCTGCAGGCCTCCCTGTAGACCATGGCCGCTCCTCTAGCCATCACTGTTGTTTACTCCAGTTGCCAGGCGCCCGACCAGTATCAGACCTAGGCCGCTGTGGGTTAGGTGTCTGGCCCTCAAGGATGGAGCAAGCAGGCATTAATGATGTTACCTGCTCTGTGCCCTGTGTTTCCAGTTGACGAGCTGGGAGCAGCGAGGTCAGATCCTCCTGCTCTCCTTGCTGAAGAGCAGAAGAGCATTGTTTTCTTGGAGTGATTGCTGCCTGGGTTATTGTAGGCTTTGCTTTGTTCCAAACTCCCAAAAATGTTGATCCATACGTAGTCCCTTCTTTTTGTTTTGTTCTTATGGAGCTTAGAACTTGGCGTTCTTTCCCTACCACTTAACTGACTTTTTTTTTTTTTTTGTGGGTCATGGGGCTTGAACTCAGGGCCTGGGCACTGTCCTTCAGCTCAAGGCGAGCGCTCTACCACTTGAGCCACAGCGCCACTTCTAATTTTCTGGTGGCTAATTGGAGACAAGAGTCTTACGGACTTTCCTGCCCAGGCTGCCTTTGAACTCAGATCTCAGCCTTCTGAGTAGCTAGGATTGCAGGCGTGAGCCACTGGCACCCGGCAACTGAATTTATTTTTTGATATTTGAATGTGGAGGGATATTTCAGGTAGGTTTCTCGTTTATTGTAACATATAGGAAATAAAATAATAATTTTATTCACAGTTGAAATAGAGTAACCAATAAACATTCAAGTTTTTTTTCTAGATTGACTTGTTTAAACAGTCAGATTTGATGGTTATAAAGGTTTCAGATGTCTTAGGAATTAATTAAAAAGGAAAGAAAAGGCTCCACCCTACTCCCTCTCCAGTGAAACCACCGCCATCAACAGGACCATACTTTGTGGCAGATACAAGGAGTGATGTTCTATGTAAAATTAGTAGTCAGACCACACACACTTTTAATCCTCGGGTAATTAGAATAGCGTCTCAGTATTATCAGAGTAAGCTCTTGAGTCTCCCTGATTATGCTCTGCACAGAAGTATCTGAGTTTCCAGGGCCTTTGGTGTCAGTATTCTCACTGCAGATGAGAACTATTTGTCTCTAGTAGCTGCATAGCTGAGTTGCCACAGTTAAAACCAACCAGAAGTGACCATGGACCGTAGTGCCGCAGATCCCTCTCAGTGTGAAGCAGGTGCCACGCATGTGAACTCCCTCCGCAGGCCAGTATTCGTCTTATGCTTTGTTGGAAAGGAGGACCTTGTTGTAGAGGACTTTCCCACCCAGGTTGGCTTTGTTCTCCAGATCTCTACCTCCTAAGTAGTTAGGATTACAGGCATAGGCCCTAGCTATTTTAACTTTATCACATATATCTCATTGTGGATACGTTACTTAAAGAACAGGTTGAGTTTTAACCTGCAGGAGAATTGTGGAGGAAAGGAATGTGGTGGGGCATGGAGAGGTCTCAGGACCTTGCGGTTGGTGGCTGCTTGTCTTGGTTGAGACTTTTCTGGGTCCCACAGCTTCCCTAAGCTCATCCTGGGTGGCGTGGTTCCCTGTAGGCTGCGGACACTGACTCGGTCTCTTTCCATTGCAGACCACACCACTCCAGAGCCCGGTGCGCAGATGCCTTGACCAAGAAGTGTTTGATCATGGATGAAGATGATGAGGCTGTCCTGAACCTCATTGCTGAGTGTGAGTGGGACCTAAGCAATCCCCCTGGAAGCACCAGCGCCAGCCAGAAGGAACTTGAGGCCGACCTGCAGCATGCCCAAGGTATGCGCTGAGTTACACACACAATTGTGCTGCTTCAAGTACTGAGTACGAGGGGCAGGGTCCTCCTGGGAGTACTGAGAGTGTGGACTATGGAGTTAGGAAAGGAGGAGTTAGGGCTCCTAAATTGAGCACAGTTATACTGCATGGCATGGAAGTCAGATGCTGGTGGAGCTGGTGTCTGCTTTGGCCCAGCGGCTCTGAGCCACTTAGCTCTGACAAAGGACTGATCTCAGGCTGCATATTTAGGCCTTTATTGCCCTCCACAGATGTAGGGGCTTCTCATGCATTGCCTTCTTCTTGAAAAGGCTCTTCTTCATGAAAGGCTCTTCATAAAGGCTCTTCTTCATGAAAACAAGACGTTGAGGCACGTTTGGGCCGAGATCCCAGGTTTGCCTGGCTACTTGAGGAATAGTCTCCCAACACTGTCGCGGTCCTGTTTGTCCTAATTAATTCCTCTTGTGAATGTGTGTGTGCCATAGCATTTATAGGCTCAATCTGTATTTTGTGAAGACTAATGTGGAAATGTTGGCCATGTGTGTCTCTGCTTCAGTGATATCTGAGCCTCACTTCTGTGTACTCTGGTTCAGTGAGTTTGCTTCTTTTCTTGGTAATGAGTTATACTTGGTAATGAGTAGTGCTTTATGATTTGAAATCCAGATTCTTGCTCAGATAGAAGTACTTTGAATTTTCTCCCATTCCATGGCATGTTTTTCATTTTCCTAACAATACTTCAAAGAACTGATGTTTTAACTTCAATGAAGTCTAATTTGTCTTTTTTTTTCTTCAGTGGTTTGTAGGAGGGTGGGGTGTATAGTGTGTCTGGTAGGGAGGTCTTCATCTATGCTGTTTAAGAGGATTTCTTCCTTGCTTTTTACATCTATGTTGTAGTTTAAGTGCCTATATGCAAATTACACTGGATAAGCAAATGCTGTGAGATTTCTGGGTGAGCCGGTGTTGTGGGTGGTGTGAGATCCCTGGGTGAGCTAGTGCTGTGTGGTGTGAGGTCCCTGGGTGAGCTGTTGCTGTATGTGGTGTGAGATCTCTGGGTGAGCCAGTGCCTTGTGTGGTGTGAGGTCCCTGCGTGAGCCGGTGCTGTGGGTGGTGTGAGATCCCTCGGTGAGCTGGTGCTGTGGGTGGTGTGAGGTCCCTGGGTGAGCCGGTGCTTTGTGTGATGTGAGATCCCTGGGTGAGCTGGTGTTGTGGGTGGTGTGAGATCCCTGGGTGAGCTGGTGCTGTGTGTGGTATGAGATCCCTGCGTGAGCCAGTGCTTTGTGTGATGTGAGATCCCTGGGTGAGCTGGTGTTGTGTGTGGTGTGAGATCCCTAGGTGAGCCAGTGTTGTGGGTGGTGTGAGATCCCTGGGTTATCCGGTACTGTGGGTGGTGTGAGATCCCTGGGTGAGCTGGTGCTGTGTGGTGTAAGGTCCCTGGGTGAGCTGGTGCTGTGTGGTGTGAGATGCCTGGGTGAGTTAGTTCTGTGTGGTATGAGATCCCTGGGTGAGCCGGTGTTGTGGGTGGTGTGAGATCCCTGGGTGAGTTAGTGCTATGTGGTATGAGATCCCTGGGTGAGCTGGTGTTGTGGTGTGAGATCCCTGGGTGAGCTGGTGCTGTGTGGTGTGAGATCCCTGGGTGAGCCGGTGTTATGGGTGGTGTGAGATCCCTGGGTGAGTTAGTGCTGTGTGGTGTGAGATCCCTGGGTGAGCCGGTGTTGTGGGTGGTATGAGATCCTTGGGTGAGTTAGTGCTGTGTGGTATGAGATTCCTGGGTGAGCCGGTGTTGTGGGTGGTATGAGATCCCTGGGTGAGTTAGTGCTGTGTGGTGTGAGATTCCTCGGTGAGCTGGTGTTGTGTGTGGTGTGAGATCCCTAGGTGAGCTGGTACTGTGGGTGGTGTGAGATCCCTGGGTTAGCCGGTACTGTGGGTGGTATGAGATCCCTGGGTGAGCCGGTGCTGTGTGGTGTGAGATCCCTGGGTGAGCTGGTGCTGTGTGGTGTGAGATCCCTGGGTGAGCTGTTGCTGTGTGGTATGAGATCCCTGGGTGAGTTAGTGCTGTGTGTGGTATGAGATCCCTGGGTGAGTTAGTTCTGTGTGGTGTGAGATCCCTGGTTGAGCCGGTGTTGTGGGTGGTGTGAGATCCCTGGGTGAGCTGGTGTTGTGGGTGGTGTGAGATCCCTGGGTGAGTTAGTGCTGTGTGGTGTGAGATCCCTGGGTGAGTTAGTGCTGTGTGGTGTGAGATCCCTGGGTGAGCTGGTGTTGTGGGTGGTGTGAGATCCCTGGGTGAGCCGGTGTTGTGGGTGGTGTGAGATCCCTGGGTGAGTTAGTGCTGTGTGGTGTGAGATCCCTGGGTGAGCTGGTGCTGTGGGTGGTGTGAGATCCCTGGGTGAGCCGGTGCTGTGTGGTGTGAAGTCCCTGGGTGAGCTGGTGTTGTGGGTGGTGTGAGTTCCCTGGGTGAGTTAGTGCTGTGTGGTGTGAGGTCCCTGGGTGAGCCGGTGCTGTGTGGTGTGAGGTCCCTGGGTGAGCTGGTGCTGTGGGTGGTGTGAGATCCCTGGGTGAGCCGGTGCTGTGTGGTGTGAGGTCCCTGGGTGAGTGACCACTGGTTTAAAGAACCAAGATCTCTTCTGCTGAGTTATTCTGCTGCCGTTTGTCAAAATCTGATTGTGACATTTGTTCAGAGTCAGTTTACCTTGTCTGTTTCTCATTTTGAAGATTTTCTTTGTTTCCTGCCACCCTGTCTTGGTTACTGCCTCTTTCATGTGAGTTGAGTTGGGTCGAGTCCTGTGATGTCAGCTCTACCCTTTGCTCAGGGTAGACCCGTCTGGAATTCAGTGTTGTCTGCTGTACTATTAACTCACTCAGGCTTCTTTTTCTTAGTTAATTGATTTAAGGAAAGGATGCTTAATAAATGTCATACACTGTCACAAAATTAAGGTGTCATTTTTTTTAATGAAACAAAATTTAAAATGTGTTTAATAAAATACAGAGTCCAGACATGTGTTCAGCGCTTCTCCATCCATCCATCATCAGTGTGGGGACTCGGTGAGGAGGGGCCGTGAGAAGAAGAGGAGCAGCTCCGGAGGGTGCTGCTCGGGACAGCCAGCTGAGGACCAGTACTGCGGGGAGCTGCCCACACAGCACGGCCACCCAGGTGAACGCTCAGCCCTGCTGCGCCTTCTTGGCCCTTAAACATGTTTCAGCATTTGATAGTGCTTTGAGAGGTCTCACCTGTTTTCTTTGTACTTATTTACAGAATTCTCTAAAATGTCTTAGGGAAAAAATTAATCACCTTGAAATTTACCATCCACCATATTTTAGGAAAGTATGCTTAACAGTAGTCAACTACTATCACAAACTTAAATTTCTAGTCTGCAAAAACTTAAATATTTTTCCTTTGCAAACACATTCTTCCTCTGCCTCTTCCTCTTCCCCATTCCCTCTCTCATATGCACACTTTTCTTCTAAGTTTTTAGGCTCAGGTTATAACAGTACTAGTATTTTTTTTCTTTTTGTGGTATTCATATTTTAAGTTTGTGATAGTACTATATGACATGTAGCTTGGGATGACAGGCCCATGGTGCTGTACCCAGCTACAGACTGAGAAGGAATCTTAGGAACTTTTCTGCCTGGGCTGGCTTTGAACTACGATGCTTCTGCTCTTAGCCTCCCAAGGAGCTAAGATGACATGCATGAGCCAACTTAGAAGTTATGTTTTCAATATGAGAAGTTGTGAAATTAAATTATAAATTAATGAGATTATTATGTGCATCTGTGAGGTGTAAATATAAAAAACTCTCCAGTATTAGGCTGGATATAGTGTTCATGCCTATAATCCCAGCTATTCAGGAGGACTGTGGGTCTGGATCAGCTCATCTCGACAAAAAGACAATGGTGATTTGTCCCTAAATCAATCCCAGGTTTGTGGAAGACATAAGTAGAAGTATTGTAGTACAGATCACCTTAGGCAAAAAAATATGAGAGCCTACCTCAACAGCAACTAAAAGCAGAAAGATGATATGTATAGTTCAAGTGGTGGAGCACCTGCCCAGCTGGGGGGGGTGGGAGGAGGAGTCTTGGGTGCACACCCTACTACCAACAAAAATGTATAAATATCCTCTCATTTGAATGAACAGGTTGCTCAGGCCATGCTTGGGGGGCCTTTAGAAACGGGGGTCATGTGGTGGCTGGCCAAGTGGACTGCTCACATCAGACGCAGGGCAGGCATGTGGTGGCTGGCCGAGTAGACTGCTCACATCAGACGCAGGGCAGTCATGGTGGCCGAGTGGACTGCTCACATCAGACGCAGGGCAGTCATGGTGGCTGGCCGAGTGGACTGCTCACATCAGACGCAGGACAGTCAGTCATGGTGGCCGAGTGCACTGCTCACATCAGACGCAGGGCAGTCATGGTGGCTGGCCGAGTGGACTGCTCACATCAGACGCAGGGCAGTCATGGTGGCTGGCCGAGTGGACTGCTCACATCAGACGCAGGGCCGTCATGGTGGCCGAGTGGACTGCTCACATCAGACGCAGGGCAGTCATGGTGGCTGGCCGAGTGGACTGCTCACATCAGACGCAGGGCAGTCATGGTGGCTGGCCGAGTGGACTGCTCACATCAGACGCAGGGCAGTCATGGTGGCTGAGTGCACTGCTCACATCAGACGCAGGGCAGTCATGGTGGCCGAGTGGACTGCTCACATGAGACGCTGGGCAGTCATGGTGGCTGAGTGCACTGCTCACATCAGACGCAGGGCAGTCATGGTGGCCGAGTGGACTGCTCACATCAGACGCAGGGCCGTCATGGTGGCCGAGTGCACTGCTCACATCAGACGCTGGGCAGTCATGGTGGCTGGCCGAGTGGACTGCTCACATCAGACGCAGGGCAGTCATGGTGGCTGGCCGAGTGGACTGCTCACATCAGACGCAGGGCCGTCATGGTGGCCGAGTGGACTGCTCACATGAGACGCAGGGCCGTCATGGTGGCCGAGTGCACTGCTCACATCAGACGCAGAGCAGTCATGGTGGCTGGCCGAGTGGACTGCTCACATCAGATGCAGGGCAGTCATGGTGGCTGGCCGAGTGGACTGCTCACATCAGACGCAGGGCAGTCATGGTGGCCGAGTGGACTGCTCACATGAGACGCAGGGCAGTCATGGTGGCCGAGTGGACTGCTCACATCAGACGCAGGGCAGTCATGGTGGCTGGCCGAGTGGACTGCTCACATCAGACGCAGGGCAGTCATGGTGGCTGGCCGAGTGGACTGCTCACATCAGACGCAGGGCAGTCATGGTGGCTGAGTGCACTGCTCACATCAGACGCAGGGCAGTCATGGTGGCCGAGTGGACTGCTCACATGAGACGCTGGGCAGTCATGGTGGCTGAGTGCACTGCTCACATCAGACGCAGGGCAGTCATGGTGGCCGAGTGGACTGCTCACATCAGACGCAGGGCCGTCATGGTGGCCGAGTGCACTGCTCACATCAGACGCTGGGCAGTCATGGTGGCTGGCCGAGTGGACTGCTCACATCAGACGCAGGGCAGTCATGGTGGCTGGCCGAGTGGACTGCTCACATCAGACGCAGGGCCGTCATGGTGGCCGAGTGGACTGCTCACATGAGACGCAGGGCCGTCATGGTGGCCGAGTGCACTGCTCACATCAGACGCAGAGCAGTCATGGTGGCTGGCCGAGTGGACTGCTCACATCAGATGCAGGGCAGTCATGGTGGCTGGCCGAGTGGACTGCTCACATCAGACGCAGGGCAGTCATGGTGGCCGAGTGGACTGCTCACATGAGACGCAGGGCAGTCATGGTGGCCGAGTGGACTGCTCACATGAGACGCAGGGCAGTCATGGTGGCCGAGTGGACTGCTCACATCAGACGCAGGGCAGTCATGGTGGCTGGCCGAGTGGACTGCTCACATCAGACGCAGGGCCGTCATGGTGGCCGAGTGCACTGCTCACATCAGACGCAGGGCCGTCATGGTGGCCGAGTGCACTGCTCACATCAGACGCAGGGCAGTCATGGTGGCCGAGTGGACTGCTCACATGAGACGCAGGGCAGTCATGGTGGCCGAGTGCACTGCTCACATCAGACGCAGGACAGTCATGGTGGCTGAGTGGACTGCTCACATCAGACGCAGGACAGTCATGGCGGCCGAGTGCACTGCTCACATCAGACGCAGGACAGTCATGGTGGCCGAGTGCACTGCTCACATCAGACGCAGGGCAGTCATGGTGGCCGAGTGGACTGCTCACATCAGACGCAGGACAGTCATGGTGGCTGGCCGAGTGGACTGCTCACATCAGACGCAGGACAGTCATGGTGGCTGGCCGAGTGGACTGCTCACATCAGACGCAGGACAGTCATGGTGGCCGAGTGGACTGCTCACATCAGACGCAGGACAGTCATGGTGGCTGAGTGGACTGCTCACATCAGACGCTGGGCAGTCATGGTGGCCGAGTGGACTGCTCACATCAGACGCAGGACAGTCATGGTGGCTGAGTGGACTGCTCACATCAGACGCTGGGCAGTCATGGTGGCCGAGTGGACTGCTCACATCAGACGCAGAGCAGTCATGGTGGCTGGCCGAGTGGACTGCTCACATCAGACGCAGGACAGTCATGGTGGCCGAGTACACTGCTCACATCAGACGCAGGACAGTCATGGCGGCTGAGTGGACTGCTCACATCAGACGCAGGGCAGTCATGGTGGCTGGCCGAGTGCACTGCTCACATCAGACGCAGGGCCGTCATGGTGGCCGAGTGCACTGCTCACATCAGACGCTGGGCAGTCATGGTGGCCGAGTGGACTGCTCACATCAGACGCAGGACAGTCATGGCGGCAGAGTGCACTGCTCACATCAGACGCAGAGCAGTCATGGTGGCCAAGTGCACTGCTCACATCAGACGCAGGACAGTCATGGTGGCTGGCCGAGTGGACTGCTCACATCAGATGCAGGACAGTCATGGCGGCCGAGTGCACTGCTCACATCAGACGCAGGACAGTCATGGTGGCTGGCCGAGTGGACTGCTCACATCAGACGCAGGACAGTCATGGCGGCCGAGTGCACTGCTCACATCAGACGCAGGACAGTCATGGTGGCTGGCCGAGTAGACTGCTCACATCAGACGCAGGGCAGTCATGGTGGCCGAGTGGACTGCTCACATCAGACGCAGAGCAGTCATGGTGGCCGAGTGGACTGCTCACATCAGACGCAGGACAGTCATGGCGGCTGGCCGAGTGCACTGCTCACATCAGACGCAGGGCAGGCGTGTGGCGGCTGGCACAAGGTATAGAGAGACTGTTCTGGGTTTTGGACTGTAGTTAAGGCCAGGGTCATTCCCGTGCTTGGCCATATCTGTGCTGCCTCACGGTTACCCTGTGTTCTGTACTTCTGTAGTGTGGGGCTAGCAGACACAATGGGAGCACACTTTGTCCATTCCAACTCACAGAACTCCTTTGTTGAAGTACTGCCTGAGCACAGCCTTGTAGAAGTCTTCCTGTCTGTTTTGTACCAGCTCTGGGTTTCACTGTATTTGCTCCTTCTCTTTGCCTACTCTGTCCTCTGCCTCTGTGTCTGCAGTGAGCCTGTGCCTGTCCTCTGTGTCTGCAGTGTGTCTGTGCTCTGTGTCTGCAGTGTGCCTGTCCTCTGTGTCTGCAGTGTGTCTGTGCTCTGTGTGTGCAGTGTGTCTGTGCTCTGTGTCTGCAGTGTGTCTGTGCTCTGTGTCTGCAGTGTGCCTGTGCTCTGTGTGTGAAGTGTGTCTGTGCTCTGTGTGTGCAGTGTGTCTGTGCTCTGTGTGTGCAGTGTGTCTGTGCTCTGTGTGTGCAGTGTGCCTGTGCTCTGTGTGTGAAGTGTGTCTGTGCTCTGTGTGTGCAGTGTGTCTGTGCTCTGTGTGTGCAGTGTGTCTGTGCTCTGTGTCTGCAGTGTGTCTGTGCTCTGTGTCTGCAGTGTGTCTGTGCTCTGTGTCTGCAGTGTGTCTGTGCTCTGTGTGTGCAGTGTGTCTGTGCTCTGTGTGTGCAGTGTGTCTGTGCTCTGTGTCTGCAGTGTGTCTGTGCTCTGTGTGTGCAGTGTGTCTGTGCTCTGTGTCTGCAGTGTGTCTGTGCTCTGTGTGTGCAGTGTGTCTGTGCTCTGTGTCTGCAGTGTGTCTGTGCT